ACTCACTGACGTTGTCTGCGGATATATATCCTTTTGTAGAGACATGATTATTCCCTCAAAGGTTGTGAATTCTTTCCCTAATAACAAACCATGGTCCTCTAAAGTTCTTACGAGGCTGATTTACGAAAGGAATAAAGCTTTTACTGAAGGGAATACCTTGAAAGTCAGAGAAATTAGGAAGGAGATTAGATCAGAAATTAAAAAAGCTAAAATAAAATACAAGGATAAGGTAGAGGCGGAGATGGGTAGCAATAACTTAAGGGTGGCTTGGGCTGGCATGAAACACATGACTGGTCACTGTCTCAGTGACTGTAATAAGATAAGTCTCCCTGGTTTTAGTTCAGATTTTCAGTTAGCCAATGAGCTGAACAGATTTTATTCGAGATTTAATGATAACTATATTCCAAGGAATACACTTGATTCCTTAATAGAGAGCACCAGAGGCCCCCCAGTTTTGTTCTTTGATGAAAGAAGGGTGGGAAATCTTTTTAAAATGAGTAAGACTAATAAAAGTCCAGGTCCTGATAATATATGTGGCCAGGTGCTTAGAACATGCGCTGAGCAATTATGTGGTATTTTTTATCACATCTTTCTTTTATCTCTTCAGCAACAGAAGGTTCCAGAGGTATGGAAAAAATCAATTATTTCTCCAGTTGCTAAGACCACAAAACCTACATCATTAAATGATTTTAGGCCTGTTGCTCTTACATCTTTAGTGATGAAGTCCTTCGAAAAACTTGTCAGGAAGGAGATCCTGCAGCAAGTAGAGAAGCTGATAGATCCACTACAATTTGCATACAGGCCTTGTAGAGGTGTGGACGATGCAGTGGTCACTCTGTTGAACTTCCTTTATCGCCATCTTGATGGCGCCAAAGCTCATGCTCGGCTTTTATTTATTGATTTTTCTTCTGCTTTTAATACTATCCAGCCACATCTTTTAGTGGACAAGCTTCTTAACCAATTTAAACTTAATTTTAATCTCGTTGGTTGGATCTTAGACTTCTTAACTGATAGATCACAGTGTGTGAGAATAAACGCCTGTTTTTCCAAACAGCTGAACTCTTCTACTGGCTCACCACAAGGTTGTTGTCTCTCTCCTCTTTTGTATATTTTGTACACTAATGACTGTCGCAGCACACAGGCCAATAGGCATTTCATCAAATACGCAGATGACACAGTCATTGTAAGCCTCCTTCATGGTGAAGAGGATTCCCATGGGCCTGTTGTGGAGGAGTTTGTTTCATGGTGTGATCAGTCCTTCTTAATGATCAACACCTTGAAAACCAAGGACATGGTTATTGATTTCAGGAAGTCATCCCCTCATCCTGCGCTTACAGTGGTAAATGGTGCAGCCATTGAAATGGTGGGCAAGATTTCAGGGAGGTCTCAGGTCCAGCTTGTGGACTTTTATAACAGGCAGGTGCTGAGGAAGGCAACTTCTGTCCTGTTGTGTTCAGATCATCCTCTCTTTAACGATTTTCAACTGCTTCCATCAGGTCGTCGTTATAAAATGACTGCAGTGAAGACAAAGCGACACAAATTGTCGTTTGTAAGCCCCGTGTCTTATTTAGTATTTTAAGCTCTGTTCTTAACCCTCCCCAATCCAACTGTATAGAAGCCTCTGCTGAAACCTGTGAAGCTTTTTTAAATTTCTTTGTGGAGAAGATTTTATCTATTAGAGCACATATTTTACCCCCTTCTTATGACCCTTCTGTTATTCTTACGCCCTTAGCAATTTTTAGCCATTTTGAACCAGTGTCTCTATTTAAACTGGGTAAAATTGTCACCCAAATCAAGTCTGGCTCTCCCAGTGATGTTCTTCCCCCTCGCTTTTTTAAAGAAGTTTGGGGCACTATTGGACCTTATATTCAAAGGCTTATAAACAGCAGCCTGACTTTAGGCCATGTACCTGTAATTTTTAAACAGGCAGTGGTCCAGCCTCTGCTGAAACGCCCTGGCTTGGATGCTTCTTTGTTGAGTAATTTTAGACCTATTTCAAAGCTTCCTTTTGTTTCTAAAATTTTAGAAAAAGAAGTGTGCTCACAGCTGCAGACTTTTTTAGAGAGTCAAAACATTTTTGAGGTATTTCAATCTGGTTTTAAAGCACTTCACAGCACAGAGACTGCACTTTTGAGAGTTTTTAATGATATCTTATTAACTGCTGACTCTGGGAAGTCTGTCTTACTTGTGCTTTTGGATCTCACAGCAGCTTTTGATACAGTCGATCACAATATTTTGATTTATCGTCTAGAACATCATGTTGGAATTAGAGGCACTGCCTTGGAGTGGTTTAAGTCATACCTCTCTGATAGAAGTTTTTCAGTCTCACTTGGTAAATTTCATTCATCTTCTGCCCCCCTCCCATGTGGTGTACCTCAAGGATCCATCCTTGGGCCCCTTCTTTTTAGTCTTTATTTACTTCCCCTTGGCCATATTATTAAAAAACATAAAGTCTCATTTCATTTTTATGCAGATGATTGTCAAATTTATCTACCGCTGAAACACAATGACCCTAACCCCCTCAGGCCTATTTTAGAATGTCTTAAGGATATCAGAGCATGGCTGGCTTTGAATTTTTTAAACTTTAATGAAAAGAAGACTGAGGTCATTATATTTGGGCCGAGTGGATCTGGTGTCCCTCCATCTGACTTGGGTCCTCTTACATCGTGTGTCAAATCAATTGTCACCAACCTTGGAGTAAAATTTGACACAGCTCTTAAAATGGACAAACAAGTAAATACAGTGGTGAGAAAAAGCTTTTTTCAGTTGAGGCAGCTCTCTAAAGTAAAACCTTTTATTTCTTTTTGTGACTTGGAGAGAGTTTTGCACGCATTTGTGACCACTCGCCTTGATTATTGTAATGGACTTTATATTGGTATTGATCAGGCTTCACTATCGCGCTTGCAAATGGTCCAGAATGCTGCTGCTCGCCTGTTGACAGGGACACGCAAACATGAGCACATTACCCCTGTTCTTGCCTCCTTACACTGGTTGCCTGTCCATTTTAGAATTCATTTTAAAATTTTATTGCTTGCTTTTAAAGTCTTAAATGGCCTGGCTCCGTCTTACCTGTCAGACCTTTTACACCAATACACTCCACAAAGATCTCTCAGATCATCTGACCAGTCACTCCTTACTGTCCCCATGTCGAGACTGAAACACCGAGGGGACCGAGCTTTCGCTGTTGTGGCCCCCAAACTATGGAACAAACTGCCCCTCCATATCAGGCTGGCCCCAACACTTGAAATGTTTAAATCACTTTTAAAGACACACTTTTTTTCAAAGGCTTTCTAGGAGTATTATCAGAGTCAGTTTGTAGTCAGTTTTTAGTCAGCTGTTGATCATTCTTAATCTTTCTACCTTGTTAATCTTATTCATTGTATATCTTATTGTTTATTCTACTCATGTTGTGATATTTATATATACACTGATTTATTTTTATCTTTTTTAATTATATATTTATTTTGTTTATTGATTTCATTGTATGCTTAAAGTATGGTTTTTAACTGCTATCTCTGTTTTATTATTGGAAAGCACTTTGGTCAACTTGTTGTTTTTAAAAGTGCTATATAAATAAAGTTGGATTGGATTGGATTGGTTTGTACCTAGTGCTATTATCTTAATTAACAACACTAAATTGTAAGTGTTGTTGCCATTGCACATTGCACTTTTTTCGATGGAAATCTAGGTTGTTTTATCAGGCTTATATTATATTATAGTATTTTTTTAATGAGTGTACGTGATGTGTTGGTTGTATGTTTGTTGTTTGTTTTGACATACTGCGAATCAATTTCCCATCAGGGACAATAAAGTTACCATTGACCATTGATTAATGAAGTCCTGTTCTGAAGCCTTGAGTTTTGCATTTTGGCCACCACCACGTTGGTGTGTTGGAAGAAGAAGCGTCCATATTTTGACATGATGGTGGATTACAGAGTTAACGATAACATGCTTCACACAGACATACAGATGTCTGCTAGTTAGTTAGGTCTAGTTAACAGACTCGATCCCTCTATGAAGTGGGAAATTAACAATCGAGACAAAAACCAGCCTATAAAACATGTTTTACTGCAATAAAATTTCCATAAAGGAGACTATAAAGACCCGTGTGTGAAGTGCTCATTTGAGGAAGTGCAACTTTTGGCACTTCTTTATGGCCCATTTATCCTCACCATGCAAACTGTGCCAGATGAAAAAAGCGACATCATATACAGAGGGCGATGTTGCAAAAGTCTGAAAAGAAAAAGACTTGCTACTTTTTTCTCCTCTTATACCAGCGCTGATGTGCACACTGTGTCTGAGTGGAGACACTTATCGTAATGTGGGGACTATTTCCTCCCTCAGTGCTGGTATAAGTGGTACGGAGCTGAGGCGACGTCACTGTTTGCAAACAGACCAATGTAGTGAGCTTAACCGAGGCTGAATTCTTCAGCGCTAACAGTATCTATTTGCTTTGGACATGAACACTTTCTTGGGCTGTAAAAATTTAGTATATACCAAAAAATAAAAATAAAAAGCTTCCACAAATCAAGGCAACACCTATAAATTGCTCATTTTTGAGTCAATAGGTAAAGCTGGAGCTGGTGCATAGTCAACATTTCCTCTTGAAAAGCTCCTTATTTTTTAAGCACTTTTAACATTGATCCAGCTTGTCCTCAATTATTTTTTTGTTGCTCAAGTAATCAATTATATGACTAATCACCTCGATGTAACCTCAGGCTAATTTAAAAACTTGGTGAAATAAAGAAAAATCCATAAAAATATCAGCAGCCTGTGGCTTTGATCCAAATTAAATGGCTCACCGGTGCACATAAGTCAAGCCGGGTGTGTATGACAGGAGAATGTAATACTGTGTGCGTCTAATCTTCACTGTGGAATGGAAGAGAGAGAATATGGTAAAGTGTTTTGAGGATTCATCCTTCACTGGATGCCCATTCATCACAAAGCTTTGTTGCTCGTGGTGCTGTGGTTGGAAATGCTGTTGTGATAAGCCACAGTACCTGTGTCCGGTTATTCTCGATCGTCTTCTCCAGCTCGGCCTTGGCGGCGGCTGACTCGTGCTGGTGGGTTTGTCTGAGGTGTTCGATGGCTGACGCGTGGATGTGGTTCAGCTCCGATCGCAGAGAGGCTGATGGAAAAATATGATCGAATACACAAATGTCAGGAGGTCACATTTCATTTGCACAGAGCATAACGCACATGATGAAGCAAAGCTAGTCTGCATATTTCAGATTCAGTGTCACCGGGCACGCAAGACTTACTCAGAAAGCTCCTTTCAGCCTTTTGTCTATTTGCAAAAAGAGCTCATTACATCCAAAGGCATTCTTACTACATTACTTTTTTTCCCCTAACTTTGCCCATAAAAAAAATGCCTCTGCTGCCTTTACCCGAGTGGCCTTTAATCCTCACTTCAATGAACACCTTTTATTGCAAACAGTCTAATGGCTTAGAGAAGCATGGTGAGGGAACACACTGCTATTAGCTTTGAAAGACAAAAGAAGAACAAAGTCACGAACTGCACTTGATTTCTCTCTGCAGTTCAAAACCAGTCAGAAGACGGGCAAACAGAAAGAAACAGAACATGCGAATACACACGTATGGGGATACGATAGAAAAAAAGGTAAGAGATATAAGGAGGAACAGGTAATAAAATAATATTATCGCTGGAGCCTGCCAGTGTCAGGACCATGACATAGAGGGTAATGGAAGACCATTTATCACAGCACAGTACTGGTTTGTCGGCACCAAATATTTGATGAGGTTGAGAATTTACTTCACTTATGTGCTTATATGATTTTGTTAGACTTTAGATCCTTGTTGATGTTTCATTTTACTCTGTTGTCCCTACACTGCATTATAATGAGAAAATAATAAAGACCAGATGTTTCTCCTGTCAAATAGCAACATTAACGTAAGACAGAGAAATGTAATAATGTAGTCTGTGATGAAAGAATGTCTGTCTACAGTCATGTAAAAAACATCCATATGTCTTGCGTTCTGAAATTACAGCTATTATTCACGGAAATGCCATTTCTATAGCACCGCGGTGCAAGACCAGCTATCTAAATGCGCTTTAATGTTGTTCTGCAGTGGGGAGGAAAGACTGTCTTTTGACAGAATGAGATCAGACCCGGGCTTGAGGAGGGGTGTTAACTGCCACAATCGATGGGGATGGTTAATTGAAAAGAGACGACAACCGACAAACAGGACAAAACACAAACTGTGAGCGAGCAGGCAAAAATGATCACCCATCATTCTACTGCAGGACTTTTCCTCGGACCCAATTCTGAGTGTTTTATTGAAACAGATATCTCCCACAGCCGTCCTTTTTCACTTCCGATGTGTTTCCACTAGTTGGAAAAACTCCATGAGGTTCGGGGGAATGAGCTGTCTGAACAGAGCGTGGAGCAGGCAGTAAACATGACCAAGACTCACTAATGGTGAACGGACCAGGTTACCAGCTGCTAAAGTCCAACACGTTCTGACATTAACAGAACGTTGCCAGGGAGCTGGAAAGTTACAGATTTGTGTCCTCACAAACAAAACTGGCTCAAATGTGTGATAATGTGACCTCATCTTTTCCAACTGTTCTCCGTCTGCACCAGCTGGGAAACCCTGAGCTGTGCTGATGTATCACAGAGAGGCCTGTACAAGTATATCTCACAAAACTAAAATACTGTGAAAATCTTCATTTTTTTTCACTTTTTAATTTAAACGGATAAACTTTTATATATTCTATACAGATTTATACATTTAAAATGAATAAATTAATACTTTCTTTGTTTTAATTTTGATTATTATGGCTTAGAGCTAATGAAAATCTTAAAATATCTTAAATTATTTCATTATTTCATTTGAAGTTTGAGTAAATAAAAATTTAAACAGTATAAATACTGCATGATTTTATGCTTCATCTGCTCACGTCCTTTACAGAGATGCTGATTTCTTTTTCCAGTTGGACTTGCTCACAGTGCTGTCTGTGCTCCATTCGTCAGCCAGCTCACTTTTCAGAAATTGGACAGTTTTGTATTTTGAATCTTTTTTTTGATAAAAATGAGAAAATGTTACGATAAAACTTGTGAGGGATTTGTGAGTTTTTTTCATGAGCTTTAAGCCAAAACCAAATCAAAATGTATAAATATTTAATAAATGGAGAATACATGAAAGTATAAATCCTGAAACAACTAACTTTTTCCTCGACCTTCATATTATTGTAGATGCACTAGTACAGATGGACCCTGTCGCACACTTTTGCCTGCAGACTGGGGTCAGGTTACAAAAATTGGGGGATGCCAAAACAACACTGTGTGGTCTGCGGCTGCAGAGGAGGCGTGGTGCAGTGGGTTCAGGGGCCAATGCCCGGGAGGCTGGGAGGGCAGCTGGGGCTGATTGGCTTATTAGGCTCTCCCGTTATCAGGAGGTCGCTGGGACCGGAGGAGAGAGTTGCACCGGGAGTTGGTAATCTCACTAGAGACACCGACCCTGTGACATTGTACACGTGTTGGGTCCTTTTGCCAAACTAAAGCTCACAATGCATTTACATTTCAGAGAAATCCAGTTTAAAATATATATTTTTTGAAAAATAATTGTGTTACATATTAGAGGATAAAATATTAGCCACAATAAATGTGGCAGCCCTAATTTTCCCTTTAAGTCCTTCACTGCCAGTATCTTCTTTCACTCAAGACTTTCTTCTGAAATACATGAATCTGTTTAGCCCCTGCTGCATTTTTTCCATTTGGATTTTTCTGAAATAACCACCAGGAATCCATATTCATAGGTGTGTGAAGTCTCCTTTATGTAGACACAAATCAGCTGCCACAGGGTGTGTTTGAGGGTTTCATAAATGACTTCCACTTAAGGCTGTATATAGTCTGGAATAGCACTTAATGTGGCAGTGTGAAAACAGAGCGAGACAGGGGGGAGGATCTCATGGCTGAATTGAAGTCCTGCCAATAGTCTCATATTCAACGTACAAGTTTAAACACAAATATGAATATATTTGTGTTTAAACTTGTCGGTTCTACTTAAACATTCTTCTGTTCTTTCTATAGTTTCAGCTCAAACTGAAAAATCACTGCAGACTCTGAATAAAAACTCTCCAATCAAGGCAAAATATACTTAAAATTCATGGGTGGGTTAATCTGTTTTTATGTATGCACCCACACACAAAGACAGAGCAACCAAACACACACACACACACACACACACACACACACACACACACACACACACACACACACACACACACACACTTACCTAACATGGCTTTGCCCTCATCCTCCAGTTCAAAGCGGAGCGTTTGAAGCTCCTGTTCTGACTGCTGTTTGAGCGTCTCGATGCTCTGGCGGTGAGCCTCTCTGAGAGACTGCAGCTCTGAATGGTGATGGTGGCGGAGACGCTCCTCCAGGTCCTGATGGAGAGATGAGACAGGTGGGTAAAAAAAGGAAACAGAGGAGGGTGAAAGAGAAACAAAAAGAGGTCAGGAAAACAATTAGAAAGAGGGAAATGGAGGAGTGGGAGGACCAGAGGGAGACCAGCGAGAGGAAAAATGCAAGAAAATGAACAGTATAGGAGGAAATGATGGAGTGGGAGGGAAAAGTAAGAGGCAAGAAGGATAAAAACAATGAAATGGAACAGTGAGCAAGAAAGAAAATAAAAGAAAACAATTTTATTTAAAATCCTCTATGAGCTAAAGGAGAAACTGACCACTGAAGCATCAAGAAACACACTATTTATGCTGCAGACTGCACAAATCGGGGTCACCTTCTATGTCTGAATGCATCATAGTGCACACGCTATTTTCTTACATTTCTTACATTTGAAATGTCAGAAAAAATTATAAGTCACTCTGCTCTGGAGATGTGATATTAAAGAACGCGCAGACAGTTTTCTCCGTCATATTTCAAGTCTCATAAACACTTTTCCTAGAAGGTTTGCCGTTCCTGTCCAGAAGTGCTTCATATTCATATTGCTGCATATTTCCATCTGCTTTGGATGCTGGAAGATCGTTCTGGTTGCCATTAGTTTGCAAGAAAAAAAACATCCTGTCTGCAAACACTTGCCAACTAGCTACTGAACTTGGAAAAGTGCGGCACACCAGAACTAAAGTGTTCACCGTCACTGAACGGCGTGCTTTATTGGTGCAACCAGCATGTTTCAAAACACCCAACTTTCACTTTGAAGGCAGACAGTCTTTGTTTTCTGTTTGTGTCACACTGCTTAGGTATTACATCACTATTTTAATGGCAGATACACAAAGCTAAGGTGTCCGTCGGGATATTAGGCATAAAAATGGATTGGCGCATCCCTGCTCTTCATCCTTCTGCATGCAAACATGGAAATCTGGAGATGGGATAGAGGTGGGTTTCTAAGAAGCTTGTGGATATATCCTGAAAGATCTGACAAATGGATGTTAAGAAGAGTATCAGGCAATTTCCCAGGATTGGAGCTCACATCATGTCCTGCTGGAATTAATTTATGGTAACCCTTCAAAAAACTTGTTTATATTGACACAGAGAGAAAAACTGAGTGATGTGCCATCAGATTCTTTTGATAATTTTGCTGTTGTCGTGCTATGAAGAAGGAACAGGCACAAAGACATTAATTAGTATTTAGGCTAAAGGCACCAGAGGCAGTCTTTGTGTACACTTCCAATTTTCAGCTTTTCTGGAAACGTTTTGTCACATTCAGCATCTGAAAGCAAGAGTCTCGACTATTTAATTAATAAAACAATAAATATGTTCATTTTGTTTCGTTCAGCTCTTTGATTTCCACTTTAGTTTCCAAACAAGAACTTAAACAGTTTAAACAGAAAAACATATTTGACTATTAGCAAAAACAACTGACAAGCATACACAGCATTAGCATCATGCATTAGCACTGTTTACTGGAGGGTTGCCACAAAACAAACACACACACACACACACACACACACACACACACACACACACACACACCGTAACATCAGTGAAGACCTACTAATGTTACGCTGCTGGCAGCTGAGTGTTTACTCTGGCAGGAAAAGGCTGTTTTTGATGTGTGAGTATCCACACTTTGTGCCTTTCTAGCAGCAGTTTATAGGAAACATGCTTTTACTTCTTTGAGAAATAGTCAGCGCTGCTGTTGCTGTCAGGATTTGACGTCTCTGTGTCAAACGGCCATTAAAGTGTTTCTGCAATCTATCAGGAGCCTCATTTCTGTTTCCAGAAAGCAGTCCTCTAAAGTTATCACTGAGATTACACACACAGGGTACTACTTAAGCGCTGTTTTTCAGCATGCAGGTATAAGTTGGTACAATATGACTTCTTTAGAGATTAACAGTAGTCATTGTCAAGGCTTTTCTAAGCTTACAAAGGTGTTTATGATGATGATACCTCTAATTTACAGAAAGTAGCCTCCACCTAAACTACCTCTTTTGGCTTTAACTGCAGGGATCACCATAGTGGACTGTCTGCCTCCATCTCACCCTATTCCTAGCATCCTGCTCTGTCACACCAACCCTCTGCATGTTCTCCTTCATGACATCCACAAACCTCCTCTGAGGTCTTCCTCTTTTCCTCCTGCCTGGCAGCTTCATCTTCAACATCCTTTGTCCAGTATATCCACTATCCCTCCTCTGTACATGTCCAAACTATCTTAGAGTCACCTCTAACTTTGTCTCCAAAACACTCAACCTGAGCTGTCCCTCTGATGCACTGATTTCTAATCTTGGTCAAAATCCTAACAATTTCAACTCTGCCTTCTATTTCCCTCCTTTACTATCCTTTTGTCATAAATCACCTCTGACACTCATCTCCACCCACTCCATCCTGCCTGGACTCTCTTCTTCACCTCTCTTGTGCACTGTCCGTTGCTTTTGATAATTGAATCCAGGGATTTAAACTCATTCACCTTCTACTCCATCCACTTTCAAACTGTCTCCCTCTTCATTCAGTATTTTGTCTTACTTTTACTGACTTCCATTCCTTTTCTTTCCAGAAAAGCCCTCCACCTCTTCAGGGTCTCTTCCACTGCTCCCTACATTCATTACCTATCACAGTGTCACGTACAACCATCACAGACCACATAGCCCTTAAGTGAAGTATAAAAAAGATGGACTACGTTGCTCGCTCAACTGTCCATCATCTAATCTGAGAAACTCCAGTGCGTCTCTCTAAAACCCAACTCTTGAACTTAATAAAACTTTTAAATGCTTAACTGTCTGATTAGATTTTTGGTTGCCAGATGCATTTGGTAACACTCTATGTTCAGAGTAGAATTTCAGTCTTGATGTCAAGCCCCAAGAAAATGCTCAAACCAATGAGGGCAAAAAATGTAAAATAAAGATGAGAACAATACAAATGACTTTTTAATTTATCAAGAACCTCGATATAAAGTGTTAAGTGTTCTTTCCAACTCTGGACAAACCACCTAATCATCTTTGTCTAAAATGGTATCAAGATAACTAACCCAGCATGACAATAAATAAGGAAAACGTTGATACTTTTTCTATCAGCAGTCGTGAAATATTGGATGACGTTCAGATCTCATTTGCATTGTTGCACAAAGCATTAAAGCACACCACGGTTCACACTGAGTTTAGCTCGTTTTTCTTTGTCAGTGAAATGTTCAGGTGCCATTTTGTAAATTTTAAACCACAATCCATCAGCAAGAATGATCTAAAATGATATTCAAATGAGGCTGACAGAAACATCTGCATTTTGATTCAGCAGTGTGTAATGCCTTTGGGAAATGATACATGGATTGAAGAGATGCTTGAATATTGAAATGAGGCTCGCTCTGAGTTGGCGGACAGCAGCCCTGGTTATTCAGTGTTCGACGGGGCTCCCATGCTGTTTTTATGGTAACCCTTCAAAAGCACCAAAAGCAGCAGAGTGCATTAATGACATCAGAAAGAAAAAAGAAAAGAAATAACTGCTATTTATAGTGGATTCAGTCATTTATCTGCTATAACAGGGCTCTCTGTTTTCTCACGATGAAAAGCTGCTTTATATTTTACATAATTTTCCTATTTGCACTTTAGAGCAGAAGAATCACATTAAGTCCTAAAAAGATAACGTAACAATCCTCAGCAACTTAATAAAAGGCAACATTATTCTGATTAATCTCAAACACAGTCAGTGTATCAATGATAAATGAAGCCAGTGTGATTTAATCCACTGCGTATGGAGTTCACATGTTGATGCCTAAAATTTGATGTTTTGGTTGCCACCACAGTTTCTTTTTTCTACCAAATCTACCAAACAGAAACCAACCACACAAACAAGGGACATAAAAGTCTGTATCCAGACTAGGGATGGGTACCGGTATCTGGTGCCATTCTGACATAAACGGTAGTAACCAGACCGAAAAGCAGCGCACATTTCGGTGCTTTGTTTTTCCTGAGCTGAGATACACTTTAGATTCTAGCCAATCATTTTACGTTTCCGAGGATAGCAGGCGGGCCCAGGTACGTACGTTCTTTTAGAGCAGAGCTACAGATTAAAAATGCCCAAGGTGAAGCGGTCAAAGTCTGGCTGTACTTCACAGCAAAAGATGCAAACTCAGCAGCCTGCAACAAGTGCTTTAAGGTGATACTGTGATACTGTGCAAAGGAGGTAACACCTCAAATCTGATGAAACACCTGGCGACACATAGCGGGTTTTTTTTTTTAAAGCCGAGAAATGCACCGTATTTGATAGCTTGCTGCGAGACCTCACACCGAGCACATCTACTGTGGGTGTGGTGGCTGTTATCGACCCGGAGTTAGCAACATCCCCCAAGAATCCGAATAGTGGAGTCCTGGCCCCTAGCCCTGCCAGTGTAGCAGGAATGATGAGGATGATGATGGCAGCAGCAGCCATTCTTCACTGCGTGAGTCGCTTAATGTTGTTCGTGTGTAATTTACGTTGAGTAGGCTAACCACGTTATTAAATTAATGTATGTAAGGTGAACTAGCAAACACCGTCATAGTTACATGCTGCGGCTGTCTTCTTGTTTGATGGCAGATGCTCCCTTCACCCTGGCCAAAAAGGCTAAAATGACCAAAGAAAAAGTGGAAAACGGCTAAACATGAGAGGTTTTTGGACAAAATTTGTTTTTTCCATTGTTTAAGCACTGCTTCCAGCCAAGAGTGATGCCATAAATCCCCTATAGCTGCAGAAAAGGCTAACATTGTTATCTTTTCACAAAAAAACAGCTGAACACGAGAGGTTTTTGGACAAAGTGTGTGTTCTCCATTCTTTAAGAACCGGTTCCGTTTCAAAAAGTACCGGTTTGGTACTGGTATCGAATAAAACCTAAACGATACCCATCCCTAATCCAGACCAATGAACTATAAAACAAATTGACTCGCTAAACAGCTGATGTCAAACTATCCACCGAAGCCAAAACCATTTTTGTACTAACTTGAAAACATGTTTGCTTCTGCTG